GAGGATGCCTGCCCTGACCCCCCGGCCAGCCCGTGCCTCCCCTGCCTCCGACCACCCCCTGCTCCAGAGTGGCCAAGCGCGACGGACTCCCCCAGCCCCGCGCTGACCCCCGCGTTCAGAGCGCGGCAGCAACGCCACCGACTTCCCCAACACTCACGCACGAGTCCCTCCCGTGTGGAGTTATTCCCTCTCCCATACGGACAGGGAAACGGGGGCACCCGGGAGGGGCGTCCCACGCCGCAGCACCCCAGCCTCGGGAGCAGAATCGGCAGGGGAGGGAGGGGCGCGAGCGGGAAGCAGGAGAAACGTGGTGTGCCCGAACCCCAGGAAGGCAACCGGTGCCTTGGGGGCACCCCAAAGCCACGCTGCTCCTGCTCGGAGCGCGGCTCCCCTCCTGCTCCCCCACCCACACATCCCCTGCCCACGGGAGGCATGGCTCCCACTCGGGAATTTTGCTCTGGGAACAGGAGCGAGGTCCTGCGGGGCTGGGGGAATCGGCGCTCACCTCAACACAGCTCCTGCAAAGGAGAGAAGGGACAAGGGGTCAGGGATAAAATCAGCCCCTCTCTCCCCCCGGGAAGGGGTAACCCCCTCCCTGGCTCCCCGGGAAGGGGTGAGCTCCCACCTCTCCGGCACAGGAGGGGATTGTAGTACAGGACGACCCCGGTGAGGGTGAGAACAGCCAGCAGGGACAGGACCACCGCTGCACCCACGACCCCACCCACGTTCGCCGGCTCTGCGGAGAGGGGACACAGGAGGCCAGCTCGTCACCGGGACGCGGATGGATGCAGAAACATCAGGGCAAGCAGCAGGAGCAGGTCCCGGTGCTGTGTCCTGTTTCCCGTCACTGCAACAGTCGCACTGGCACGAGGGGCGAGAGTTCCGGAAACACCGCGGCGAAGTCCCTGGTCTTGTGCCCACGCGCGTTTAGTGAAAGCAAACCAACCCCTGCCCGTTGCTCCTTGAGCCACGCTCCCTGGAGACCCTCCTCTGCACCCGCCACCTCGGGGGGACCAAGGACGCGGCCCGCTGTGCCGAGGCGAGGGGAATCCGGCCTTTTCGCCCCGGGATGAGGGGAGCCAGTCCTGCACCTACGCTTGCCGCAGGAGCGTGGAAGCGCCAAGAGGCAGAGAGGGCTCTTAGGGGCAAACGGAGCGCTGGGGGGGGCAACAGCCCCATGAACCGGGTCCCTGGCTCCTCCTCACTCCCCACCATGGCGACCCCAGGCAGCCCCACTCACGCTCCACTGTCAGGCAGACGAACAGCTCCCGCAGCCCCACGGGGTTCTGTGCCCTGCAGACGTAACAGCCCCCGTCGGTGCCCTGGGAGCAGTTCTGGATGGTGAGCCGGGACACGTTGCCCTCCTGGACGATGAGGTACCTCCCTCCCGGTTGGATCTCCGCTTCCGGCTGGGCGATGCCCCGCAGCCAGGTGAGCCTCGCTGCCGGCGTGCTCTCGGTGACACGGCACGTCAGGGTCACGTTGTCACCCACCAGGCAGCTCTTCGGGGGCTCCGATTCCAGCGAAGGGATTTCTGAACAGCCCAAGGGGGAAAAAAAGTCAAGGAGGGAACGGAAGAGTTTATCATAACAAGCAATTAGCCATCTGACCGATTAATAATCATTAACAGAGGAAGTCAGACAGGAGTCAGCCTCCCAAGGAGCAACGCGAGCATGGTACTCAGTCCTCTTTTGGACACCTGCCCTTATATCCCCTGGGAAGAACAGTCGGAGGGCAGCCAGCAGGCAGATGGCAGAGGAGAAAGGCAGCATTCCTTGGGATCCTTGGGATCAGCAGGGCTCTTGTGTAGCCCCGACAACCCTCGGAGGATGCATACAGCTCAGGTTTCCACAAGCCACCGCAGTCAGACCCCTTCGATGCTCGAAGGGGGCACCCATGGCCCTTCTGCAACAAACCCAGCCCCACCAAACTGAACCTCAAGCTTGAGCCCCGGCCCCTGCGCCGGTGAAAAGCTTGGTGCAGGGAGATGGGTCGGCCCCACAAGACGTACCCAAAACACAACTCACCTGCAACCATGCCGTGAGGGACCTCGGCCGCAGGTCCCCTCTGCACAAGCCGAGCCCTCGTCAGCATCTCCCCCCACAAGCCCTGCTTGCCCGACCACTGCCTCCCAGCTCTGGAGGGCAAGGGATGCCCGGGGACCCGTCTGCCCCACCGTTAGCTGGCTCGTTAAGCGTTAATAACGTAGGCACGTCAACTCACTTATCTCCACAGAGCACACAGGCTCCTCCTGCTCCGTGACGTGGCTCCCGACGCACTTGAACACTTTGCGGTGGGAGAGGCGGGAGCTGTTCAGCGTCTCCACGTGGGTGTCCGAGGAGCTCGTGGAGCTGATGAGCCAGCTTGAGTTCTCCACGTCGTGCCCCTCTTCTCTCCAGTGCAGGGTGGGGTGGGGATACCCCCCCGGCCAGCTGCAGAACAGCTGCAGCATCAGCCCCGACGAGGAGGTCTCAGCCCAGCACTTGGGGGGTGACCGCGGTGGATCTGAGCGGCAAGAACAGCACACGGTTGGAAACATGTCCAGGTCACAGCTCTCGGCATCTCGGGGCTGGAACCACACACGTGTTCGTGTTTGCCACCATTCCCCTCGAAAATCTTCCCGGTTTCCCTGCCTATCCTGCTCCCTGACCCGCGTCCCACAGCCCCAGGGGAGTGCAACTCAGAACGGCAGCCAACAGGGACCAGGCTGCCACAGCCAGCGCAGCCAAGCCTTGAGGGACTAAGGCACGGGGAGGGAAATTCCTGCCGCAGCTCTATACGGTGGGGATGAGATAAGCACTTCCAACAGCAGCAGGAGAAGAAAACCTCCAGGCTGCCCTGGGTCCTCTGGCCAGAGCTACAAGGGGGAGGACACTGATTCACGCTACTTGAGAACGAGGCTCTGCCCCTCCCTGTCACTGATACTGGCACTCAGATTTCCCCAGGAAACATGGAAAACATCAGGGCTCTCGCCCAGGGACAAGTAACCAGCTCCTCAGAGCCACCAGCCCAAAGCTGGAGCACTTCCCCAGCACCCGGCGGAGGGGGGAGCCC